AAGCCTAAAAACATCGGTCGTGGTCAAAAGTGGATCTGGGATGGAGCTCCAGAGTACTCGCACAGCCGTTTCGAGCTCTGCTGATTTTCCGGTGATGTAATTGAACCTCATATATAGATTCAGAAGCTGAAGTGCACGGAAATTGAGAGGATCTCTAGAAATAACATTCCAATTTTCGGCCCACGTACCGTATTCTTCATCATCAAAAAACCTAAAAAGTGAGAAAAAAAAATACTAAATAAAAGGACTCAAATTCAACTTTTTAAACGCATGTAAGAAACGTTACTCTGTTTCAATATTCCTTAAAAGTGATCGTGAACACGAAACTGAAGTTGGAACGATTTCAAGGGGATCTGAATTCTACAAAAGCACAGGACTTTATACTTGCGGCATTATTAAAGAAGTTTCGCCGCTATGGGGCATCTTACTATAGAGCGCAGATTGTATGCCTTTCAAGCTAATTATATGCAATTATTATGAGAATTTAATTTCGAGTTAATAAAAAAAGAAGCTTCATGTTTTAAAAGTACCCCACTACAAACACTTTTTATTCTGTTGACAACTGCATGGAAAGGGTAAATATTAATAAATAAATAAATAAATTTTTAAAAAATGCCGGTGTATGAGAAAAATAATCTTAGCTTTAAGTTCACGTTTTTAATTTTGTAAATTCATACTCGGGATTTTAAAGCATTGTTTAACCTGCACAGTCTGCTGAATCGGAGAATATGGCCGATCTTGATTCTTTTTTCTTTCACCGAATACTTATGTGTCGATGTTTAAACTGCAAAATATAAAAGAATCCCACCACATACACTTTTTTTTCTATTGACAACAGCTCGGCAAAGATTAGATATAAATAAATAAAAACTTGATTATCTCCTCTTTAACGGAATATTCAATTGTTTGAAAATTAAATTCACAAAAAAAAAAAACGTATCATAAATTTTTGAACTTTCATTTTATGAATGAGTTTAATCATTGCTGTAATGGTAATGTTGTTCCACTTGCGTTAATGATTACAAATTCAAAATTAATTTTTAATAAGAATTTCGGCAATAATTTGAAGAAAGCATTCACTCTTTCTTTGATTAAACTAATTGGTAAAAAGAATCTTTATAGGAGAAAACTTTCTATTGTTGCAATATGTTATACACAAATTTACATTCTATAAACTAAGTAACGAATGAAAAAAAAACAGACATGAAAAATAGCGCAATTCTTGAAAGCAAAATTGGATTTCTTGCTAACGTAACAAAAATAGAGAATGGATTCATAACTAAGGGTGCATTTACAACTGTTTCCTCGGCCATCAACAAAAATATTAACAATATTTTTATAAAAAACTTAGTTCCGGTCTTACTTGTTTTCAAGTTTAAAATAAATCCAATACTTAGTTTTCTTTAAAATTTAAATATTTGAAGAAGAAAAAAACGTATTTTGAAAATTTTGTACATAAAATCCAAGTTTACATTCTTCATTAATTAAGACAAGAAAACGATTGCTCGCTTTTTATGTAAAGGAGGTTATTATACAAGTAATTATCTCGTAATTCTGGAGAAAAATGTACTATTCCTTCCGGGAAGAAAAAAATATCTTTGAAAAAACATTTTCTTGATAATTCCATAATTTAATAAATTTACAAGTTTTTAAAAGTTATAAATCCTTCAAAATCTTGCAAGAATTTGGACTAACATTAAATATATATTTGAAATATGATTTTGAGAAGATTTAAAAATAATTGCCATTACAATTATACTTCTATTTTCCAGTTTTCAATTAATATAACTATTAATAAAATCGGTAACTAAAATATTTATATCAGTGCATTATTTATATCATACGTGTTATTTCTTAATTGAATGCAACAATTTTCGCTATAAGGAATTTCATGTTCTTGTAGGTTTTGTTCTACTCCTTAATCGCCACTGCATATTCCATCATCCTGGAAAAAATCCTTACTTGGGGATTCTTCTATTTCATTATTAAATTTCAGTTATTAATTAATTATTATTAATTAAGTAATTTAATTATTATTAATTTTAATAGTTTTTCTGTGGTTTTATATGCATAACAATTTGACAGATTTAAAAATTTACAAGATGTGGTGAAAAAGTTAATTACATTACAGAATGGAAATTAACTAATGTGTTTTTAAATCGTGAGCTCATTTCACTTTGTTTCTTCTTTCCGCACGCAATATAAAATATTTCATAGCATAACTCTTAATGCAAGGATTTTTTTTTCGATATTAACAATACTAAACGAAGGATCCACTATTTTAAAGTTGTTTAAACAAGAAAAAAACTGTTTGAAATCGTATGCCTGGCCTTTACACAATTGTTCTGCATAAAAGTTGACTCAATACGGCAACAGCCTCATTGAGAATTGGACAATAAGACAATTTATTTTTCTTTTATGAAGTTACATGAAAAAAATTTGGCCAGATGTTTTTTTGTAGCGTTAATATTTTTTGAGTTAAAACAATAAATAACTGAATATCCTATTTAACGAAATTTTCTCATGTCAAATAAATTTACTCAATTGAAAATCTACACTCGGAAAATTTAAAAGTGGCAACTTGCATTTGCTATGCGGCATAGGATTATTTATCGTAGTTAAATTTTGAATCATCTTTCTAATGTTAAATATGTGGACAATATTTTCTGAACCAAAAAGCAAATACTTCACACAACATTAAAAAAATCTTCGATATATAATATAAAATAAAACTGCTCCTTAAAAAAAATATTAAATAAAGCTAAACTATCTGTATATTCAGTGAAATAAAACTGAAGAACAATTAAAAAGAACCCGTCAATGGCTTGAAGTGAAAAATCATTTACAAGCGCGCATTGTTTTGATATATAATTTAAGAAAAGTATTATAAATTAGACAGGAATCTTTAATAATGTATATAATATTTTACAGGATGCATTATTTTTTTTTAAAGTTTATTTACTTAATGTAAATAGGTTTTTCGCAAGAAAGGCAGTAAATTAAAAAAAAGAAAAACCATGAGTTTTGTACGAAAAAGTCCATAAAACATTAATTTAAATTTAAACAATAGTTTAAGCCCAAACTGGACAAGAAAGCCTAAAACAGAACTTCGACAACAAATCTGCGAAAAAAAATTAAAAAAAAAAAGAAAATAAATAAATAGCGCAAATGAAAAACTAATGAGTATATAAAAATTATCGCTAAGAAAATCTGAAAATTATCAATTTTATCTCATAAAGCTAAAAGTTATTATTTTAAATTAGAAGAAATAGACAAAAGAAGCTTAAAAATGACGCTCGTGAAAAGATGAAAAAACAAGAGCTCTCTAATGACAGGATGTCGCCAAGCAATAACTGTGAAGCGCTTGCTTTAGCTAAAGGAGAATATACATAGATTCAGATTGCTAATAAGGAATGCAAAAAGAAAAGAAAAAAAGAAGAAGAAAAACGGGTAGAATTTAAAAAAAAAACTATAAACTAATGAATTTTCTTGTTAAAAATCCAAAATATTTTTCAGAATTAAAAAAGATGGGTAAAGGAATGATAAGGCTTAAGAAAGAATCCCTGCAACGCATCTTTAGAGATAATGCAAGATAATGAGACGAAATTAAAAAATGAAGGCAAATAAAAGCAAATATTGACAAAGAAGTATTGACAGAAAATATAAAATTCTGTTTGATGAAATAATTATATTTGATTTTGAGTTGAAAGTATTGGGTAACGAAATGATAAGGAAGCTTATAATAAAAATATGAGAAAAATTCATTCAAAGTAGAAAATATGTAAATGCAAAAATATATAGAGAAAGATAGAAAGCATCTAATATATGCATAGAAGATATGTGAGACTAAAACAGAAAAATGGGCAGAAAATTAAAAAAAAAACAAATTTGGAAAAACAAGTTAATAAAAAAAGCTAAAGATGAAATCTTCACACCACATCAATCATTAATCACTTTATTGGATAAAAATCAATCAGAAATCAATTAATCATTTTATTGGATAAAATTATAACCTTGAATTAATGCGAATGGGTAAAATAAAGAGAAAGAAAAAATAAACCTTACAATACATCTATTAAGTAAAAAAAAAAAGAACGGAAAATTATATATTTTGTATGATAAATGTGTAAAATTAAATATATAAAGGGAATATCTAAAAGAAAAAATGAATAAATAAATTTAATTAACTAGGATATGAAAAAGAGGAAATAAAAAATAAATCTGAAAATAAGGAACTTTGTCTTACAAAGTATAATATTATTTTGATCAAAATGAAATAGGTAAAAAAAAGTTATAAGAAATTAGGAATCTGCAGTTAACAATTGCTTTGTTGAGAATATATAAAGGAATCAGAGAAAACAATGATAATAAACTAAGATTAATGAGAACTTATAGCAATTAAAAATAACTTATAACAATTATTATTAATTTAAGAGCAAACCATGTATTTTTAAATGTAAGAATATTTGCCTCACTAGCATTGCTCGAAATGAAAGTTACATATCCCATAAATTCCATGCATATCCCTAAAATTACCCATCTGTACCCCAATGTTAAGGTAGGAGCGTTCTTTACTTTAAATATAAGGAATTCAGTGTAATTTTCCTTAAATTCTAGGTTTAAAGATATTTAAAGTTTGCATCAACTCTACATTTATTCTAAAATTATTTTCTATTACAAACTGGACCAGGTAGAATTTTTACGGTTTAAAAAAATTTTCTGCTACCAATGGTCTTAATAGGAAAGAGACAGTTTTTGGTGCTTAAAAAAATCTTTACATACGTTTAAGGATATACCCTTTAAAGGAAACAAAACAGTCGTAACTTTTTAAATTCACTTACATGAAATCTCTGAAATATCTATAAAAATGTTTGCAGCTCTATAAAATTTCAAGTCATGAAACTAAATTTCGATAACGATACCAACTATTTAAAGAAAAAGGATAAAAATCTAGACAGGTTAAAAATTTAAGGTGAAAAGTAACTGAAATAAAAACTTACCCTATAAAGAAGGAACGGTGATACAGGTGTCTTGCTTTTGTTGATCCATTAGAGGCTCCTGCTTCTGTTATTCTGATGAATGCTTCGGGATTTCTTAAAAGACTACCGTGAGAAAAGTCGACTTCTTTACCTGGAAGTTTCTTCTTGAACATAGACCAGAGATCCAATTTAAGTTCTTTGATCACTTTTAGGACATTATCAATAGTCCCGACTTTATTAAATACCACATTATAATAAATATGATGCAATATGCCATTAAAAGTAGTATCTGTAATATCATTAGCTTTAGCACTATATGCAAGAAGAAAGCGTTTTTCGTCAACGGTAAAATATTTATATAAAGAAGCGGCGTCTAAACAATAATAATCACCCTGGTTATTGATAAGGTATTCCGCCATTGCTCGACTGGTAAGATTGACTTGCTCGATCTGTGATAGGTAATAGTAAGACCTAGTATTGACTGGTAAGATTCAAGTTATAAAGTAATAAATTCAAGATTATTAAACTAGTTGCACCCTTATGCCAGCTAGTACGCATGCGCAATGTCCATTTTGCACTGGCCAATAGGATTGAACGTCATACGCACCGTCATTTGTTAAAGTACGCATGTATTCCGTCACCTTTTCTAAAGACTAGTAGACTCCTCCCCCCAGTACGCTTTGCACACACGTGGTTCGTACTTTTTCTTTTTTTTTCCCCTAAGAATCCTGATTTTTCAAAAAAGGAATATAAATAAAAAACAAAAAAATAAAATAAGTCAATTGAAAAAGAAAAGGAATAGACTTTATTTTCTTCCTAAAACACAAAACTGTTATAGTTTTATGCATGAAACTCCAAGATTATTATAATTAGGATTAATCATAACGAAACTAAAGGTTACATAGATTTGTAAACTAATTAACCGTATTTAAAAAAAAAAATATTTGAACCTAGAAAATCAAATTTTGTGACACAATAACCTATTGAGTCTGTGAGATATATCGGAAGGCCGTTTTCATTTAAAAGCTTTTTTTTTTTATATGAATGTTATATTAAATTAATTTTAATGTTAGATTAAATTTATATATACATATATTTTAAAAATTGTTTCGGAGTAATCTTGCAACTAATCTATCAATAAAGATATTATGAATATGGGACAAAATTTAGTTAAATATATTGACCACAAAGAACTTTACTTGAAAATAATTTGGGAGGAAAAATACATTAAATGTACATGTAATAACTTTGAAAAATTTGATATGTTAAAGAACACTCCTTTCACAAGAATCTTTCCATATCAAATTGATAGATTCTGAAGGATTAACTTTTTTAATACAGATTTTGGACGTTTTAATGAAAATTCTGTTTTTCGGAGACTTTCATCATTGATGTACTTTTACTTTTTATCCGAAAAAATGAAGGGGAAGGACAGGTTTTTTTGAATAATTATGTGGCGAGCGAGGTTTTTTTTTTTTTCATGTCTATCACGAGACCGTTCTGTCATGACCTCTAAAAAGTATATTTAATATTTATTTAAGGCCAAAACACACTTCACCAATTATAAGAAAGCTTCTCTTTTCAAATAGGAATTTGGTAACTCACAAAAAAATTTTATTGACCGAAAAAAATTTTTATTGGCATTTTTTCTATAATAATATTTCTATGTTATATTATTCTATATTAATATATTATTATCATCTTTGTTATTTTTTTAATAAATTTATATTATAAATTACTATCCTGTAACTTTTTATAACTTGAAATTGCTACATTTAAGTTGCTATAAACCGTTCAGTATAGACCCTCTTTTGAAAAGAAAAATACCATGTGGTTCATGGAATAAAAACAGAACTTTATACATCTGTCATTATTATAGAAGGTTAATTGAATACTAGTATTAAAGTTGTAAGGTAGTGCGAACCTTCTAGATTAATGTATGTTTCTAATATGCGTACTGTAGTAAGGAGTTTTTTACCACCCTCCAAAACAGATTAGTATCTTTAGTAAAATCAAAATCTAGTAAATCGATTCAATTCACAAGGATTTGATTTAACTTATATTTTTAAAAAGACTCATTATTTACTATGTTTTTATCTTAGCTTAACTTTTAGTTAAAGTATATAAACTAGGTGCAATTCCTCTAACATTTTTAAGAAATCAATATGACTATAATTGTAAAAGAAATCCAAATGATATAACGACTTTTTTCAATTACTATGTGGCTAATTACTAAATCGCTTTGCTCACCAACCCCTGTGCTTGTATCTCAATAATTACAGTTTTTTTTTATCCTTTTTAAAAATCGATTAAAGAAAGATCATTTCGTTTATAAAATACTCGTAACGCTTTTAAACACAATTTGAAAACACATTTTGTAAATATTTTATTCTACATTTAAGTATTTATAACGACAACCTTGGATGATATAACTGTTAAAATTAGAAATAGTTTTTATTTCTTTTCAATCATTTATATTTTTGAAAATGTTAACTTTATACCTGGCAGCAACAAATCTCTTACTTTTATGATTTTTTATAAAAAAACTCTCTTTTTATTTTTTATAAACGTTTGACATGATAAATGCGATAGTATGTGAAATGAAGAATTTGAGAGAGAGAGAGAGAAAAGGGAGAAATTGGAATCATTTAAAGCAAAAATGTGAAGGAAGTGGCAAAAAAGAGCATAAAGTGGCAATAATTTTCGAACAAATTGAAATGAGAATTTAAAAATAAGTATTATATGTTAATGAATGAGTATGGCCCTTTCAGCTCATCTGTGAGTGAACTGCTAAGTGGTTCACATAGTATTTTATCAATATAAACTTAACTGTTAATAATTCTCAAAGTAATTATTAAAAGTTTTTTTTACTCCATTGTGCACCTTAGATATTTTTACATACCTTCATCATTTCATGATTCAAAGTCTTTTTGTTTTTCTGCAACAATGCAAATTGTATAGCAAAAAAATTGCAGCAAAAAGCGCATCAAAATGCAATAATTTTCAAACAAATTGAAATTTCGAGAGAAAAAAAAATTATCGCTAAACTTATAAATAGACCGATCTTAATTAATAACAAAAAAAATCAGGATAACTTAAAACCCTGTAATGTGGAATGCTTTTTATGCAACGTATAATACACATTTATATATTTTTTGATTAAAACAATATTAGAGACTACGCCCTAAAGAGACACTAAAAGCACTAAATTACACTAGAAATAAAGTTAAATTAAAGAAAAATTTTTACATTTAATCATTAATTATCAATAAGCTTGCAATGGCATTAATTTGAAAATCATATTTGAAGATACAACAAAGATCATAGTTTCTATTTTTTTTTTGTTTTCTTTTTTTGTGTTATCGCCCACTTTGTGAAACAAAACTTCTTTAACACCCCCTAAAAAAACTTTTGAAATTTTCCATTCGGTGCCTCTTCTACATGCACATTTGATATAACTTTATTTCAAAACAAAGAATTATTATATTTTCTTAATTGTTAGTTAAAATATATAAACTAGATGCAATTTGTCTTACACTGTAACGAAATTAACATAACAACACTGCCATGCGAATAAATAAGCAGCGTCAGTGATTTTCTTTCTATTACTAATATTATGAACGCTAAAATAGAATTTCAAGTAATGAATAAAATAAAATTTTATTTTAATTTTGAAAAAAAAAATCATTTTCAACAGATAGTTTATCACAGAAAAGCCAAATGAATAAAAATCTCAATTTTGAATTTTTTGTCGCTTACGTTAATTTTTCTTTTGAAAGGCAGAATAGTTTTCAAGGAAATTCAAATGAAACAGAAACTTTTTTTATTTACTAAGAGGCTTCTCACACTATCGCAGACACATAGGCTTCTTTCACTGAAAATAATTGGTAAAATAGCAGTACAGTATGGCCGTAGCATATCCCGTGTTTCTGGCCGTAGTATTAATGTACGGCTGCAGCCTTAGTACTTAAATATTTTAAAAATTATTAAACTATTTTAAAAATCGCTAATTTTGCGACATTTTTTTCACACAGATAAACATTATCAAAATCATTGCCTTATTCTCAGTTTTTAAAATTTTATTCAAGCTTAGGTAATGCTGCATGCTAGCAAGATTTCAAATATTAAAAAATTGGACCTCAAACGCTTTTCATTTTCACAAATCTGTGACTTTTCACCACATAGGCACTTTGCGGAATTTTTAAAAGGCGTAGATGGGCTAAACTTGATATAACAGTCATGAGTAACAGTTGAAAACTCAAAGTAGTTATAAAAATAACATATTATTTGCAAAAAAACTTAATTTTATATTACGGGAAATAAAGGAAAAAAACCAAATCTTTGTTCTCCATTTTCATTGGTAGCCTCATTTTTTTTAAGTCCCATTTTTAAACACTCAAACCATGTAAAATTTGTTTTGCTTTTTTTAATTCAAGTTTAATAGTTGACAAGTATGCAAGGAATGTTTTTGAATATAGCTTAGCTATCATGTATAAAACTTTATTTTAGTTGAATATTTCTTTTCTCCACTATTATGAGAAAATGTTATGACCCAGAAGATCCTTCGGCTAGAAAATATAGTTGTTATGATTTTAAAAATTTATGCTATGCCATTATTCAAAATATGATTCATCAGTTCCTTTGATTTATCAACATGTAAAATCGTTTTATAATTTATAAATATTTTTCTCTGCCTTTTCATAACCATAAATCAGAAGAAAAATAAAAATAAACAGGAATTAATTATTGGTTCTCTGAATAGAAAAATATATACAAGAACTCAACATAGAAAAAAAAATCCTCTCATAAAGCTTTCTTAGAATTTGGTTTCAATAGAATCTTTCTTTTTCATTTTGGAAATAATTTCTTGGAGAAATAAATAAAATGATTTCAGTTATGAAGACAAATTTTTAGAATTTGTTTTTTTTTTTTTTTTGTTTT